TGATGGCGTCAGTGCCGCGTGGCGCTGACGGGCGCTGACGCGGGTTGGCTCTTGCGGGAGCCTCAGAAGATCTCTCCGGTAATTCCAGGACGGAGCTCGGCGTCCCTGGAAAGTCACCGGGGTGAACCCGAGACCATTCCCCGCCCTCCGGAGTTCCCACGCAGGCAGGATGTGGGCTCGTCCCCCCCGGAGAGCTCCCCAGAGCACAGGTAAGGGGGGGTAGAGACTAGCCAACTGGAGGGGACATGGGGGTGCTATTGCAAAGGCCAGCTCAGCAGCAGTTTGGAGCAGAGCCCCAGATGGACGGACAGACACACTTGTTTTAAAAGGAAAAACGTGACAACAAATCCTTAATCGATCGAGTGTTTCCGGCTCCGCCCTCCTGCTCTGACCACTAGGCTCAACTCCTCTCCCAGAGCTCCTTCCCAGCACTGAAAATAGAACCCAGGAGTCCTGACTCTCAGTCCCCTCCCCCTGCTCACACCACTTGAGCGGGACGAACCCAGGAGTCCTGGCTGCCAGTCACCTGCCCTAACCACTGCTCCGCGCCACCTGCCAGCTCGGCGCTGCGCCCCTTTCCCCTTGGGAGGAGCCGGAGACCTGCCCCGGGAAGGGGAAATCGCCGCCAAAGCCCAATTAATGCCCAACACGACGGCAGGAAACGACAGTTACAGGGAAGCTTGTGGGGTGGGCTGGGGGGGACCCTGTTCCAGGGCGGTTTTCCAGCCGGGAGCCAAGTGCCAGGCAACCCAGAGTGGTGAGCTGTGATTAGCCGGGGATGGGAGTTTGTGCTGTTGGATTTATAGGGAGCGGCGGGGCTGGGGTCCTGGCTCGGGGCAGCGGGGGTTAGGGGAGGGGAGACAGCACTAGGGAAGGAAGGAAGGAGAGGAAAGAAGGCGCTACAGACGAGAGATGGAGGGAGGCTGGGCTGAGTGTGAGAGAGAGGAGGGGAGGGGGGGAGGGGTGTGAGTATGGAAATGACTGGGAATGAGAGTGTGTGTGGGTGTGTGTCAGTGAACGTGGGAATAGGAGCTCGTGTGTGCGTGCGTGCGTGTGTGTGTATCCAGGCAGGGGCATGCATGGTGTGTGTGTGTGGGGGGGTGTAGCTGGGCAGGGACAATGCATGGAGGGGATTACTGCGGGGGCAGGGTGATGCATGGTGTGTGTGTGTGTGTGTGTGTGTGTGTGTGTGTGTATCCAGGAAGGATGAGGCTGTGTGTGTGTGTGTGTAGTCAGATAGGGGCAATGCATAGTGTGTGTGTGTGTGTGTGTGTGTGCAGCTGTGGGGGCAATGCATGGTGTGTGTGTGTGTGTGTGTGTTTGTGCACGTGTGTGTGTATCCAGGCAGCGGGATGCATGGTGTGTGGGGGTGTAGCTGGGCAGGGACAATGCATGGAGGGGATTACTGGAGGGGCGGGGTGATGCATGGTGTGTGTGTGTGTGTGTGTGTGTGTGTGTGTCCAGCTGGGGGGGGAGGGATGAATGAAACACCATTTCAAGGACACAGCCCCGTAGCCATGTGCGAGTTCCGGCCCTGGGTCCAGGCGCTCCAGCCCCTGTGCCCTCGGAGGCTGCTGGGGTGGCCGGGCTGGAGTGCCAGGCCCTGGCTGATCGGTCCTGGCGCGGTGCTGGCCATGCTGATGGGCCGCCCGGGCTGTGGGCTCTCTGCAATCCGACAGCAACACCCGCTGAGTGGGGAGGGCTGGAGCCACTCACCTGCCTGGAGCCTGGCGCCTGTAGCAGAGCACCTGGGCTCCAACCCTGGTCTCCATCTCGCTGTGAATCCCAGTGCGCACCCGGGCACGGGCCCCAGCCTGCCTTGCCCTGCGAATCTGCCCCCATACAGAGCCCACTAGCAGCTGAGCAGCACAGCACCCACCGCACCTGGGGGCCCGGGGTTTGGTCAGGGGTCAGCCCCCCGCCCTCCTGTTGCTGTCACCTCCTGGATGTAGGCAACATCTGTGGGAGTGCGGACAACAGCTGTCATTCCCATCACCTACATGGCCCTGCCATGTATCCATCCATATTTCCATCCCCTCCATGCCCCTCCATGTATCCATCCATCCCTCCATCCCCTACACGCCCCTCCATGTATCCATCCATCCCTCCATCACTTGTGCGCCCGTCCATGTATCCATCCCCTCCATCACCTACACAACCCTCTATGTATCCATCCCTCCATCACCTACACTCCCCTCCATCCATTCTTCCATCCAATGCCATAATACCCTATATATATACATCCATCATGACCCCCAGCCTTCCCTTTCTCCCTTCAGTCCTGTGACATACACACCCGCCCTCCTTCCCTCCATCCACCCTGTTCTGTACATACCGCTCCATGGATCCCTGGATTCCCTTCATCACGGTCTATCCAGTGCCACATGTACCTGTTCATCATGACATGTACCCCTCCCTCTATTCCCGTATGCATTCATCTAACCTACCTCTCAGGATACCTGCTTCTCTGTCTACCTAGCCATCCAGTGCCTTACGTGAGCCTCTCTCCATCCACCTATCTATTATCCTACATGCTTCTCTACCTGCGGGTTTTCCTGGAGAGCTTGCAGGCAGCAGGATCAGGCCCGTCTCTTCACACCAACCTAATTCTTGCTCAGACGGGGAGCTGGGGGGTGTGTGCGGGGGGAGAGCAGGGGCTGGGAAGAGAAGACTGATTTGAGCTCGCCAGCAGGTTTGCAAGTCCCAGCACCCCATCCCCTCCCGTCAGCCCGAGCTCCCTGCTGCACTGCTAATTACGAGGAGCTGCGCCATCCCAATCACCTGCTAATTGGAAGTTGGGACTGATTAGCTGGGAGCTGTAATCTGATTGTGATGAGGCACCAGGTTAGAACAAAGCCA